CCCCCCCCCCCGGACCCTCAAAATGACTATACTTTCATATGCGCCCCGAAGTGTTGAGATAATGTTTATATGTATATATGCAAATGTAAATTTTGGCAGCTAGATACACTACTTACTGTAGAAAGTGTAAAACAAATGGCTAAAAGTATTTGAAATTTTATTGGGTAATGCTTAATGAAAAGTATCTTCCAAGTAAATTACGGAAGATATAGGTTTTTTTTTATACTTAATATGTGCCATTTTCAAAGTTCAGTCGAACCCACGTTTGTACATGTTCTAGAATTGTTATTTGACTGCAGCTTATATTTGCGTCCTGTAAAAACTTAGTTATGCATTGCACACATTGTTTTCTAGGAAACAATAATTTACATGAATATTTGGATGTTTTGTTTAGATTTGGATGCATGAACCTTTCCCCAAATTTCCTTGAGTTTTAACCTTGTTGAAATAATGATGTGTTCTTTGTGTACATTGTGAGCTCCTTGTCTCAGTTCTCCTGCACTGACATCCTTGTACTTGTTTATATTATTTGATTATTTGATTTCACTTACAGTCTTAGATGATCAAAGAGATTTGGCTTTTACATTTTTCAAGTAATCTTTCATTTACATTAGCATATTACATATATAAAAACCAAGACAGATTGGCATTTTATGCATTTCTCACCTGTAATGTTTCCTTGTCTAGCTTTGGATGACCTAGACAGTGTGGTGGATGATAGAGACAGTGACTACAGGAGTGAGATGAGCAGTAGTTTACCTCCACGCTACCACACTACAGCCCAGCCCAACTCTTCACTTCACCAGTATCCCATGGGGCCACGCTTTCAGCAGGCCATGGATTCCTGTGCTGACTCTTTGCACAGCTTTGAATTTTTCTATAGGGATCACCATGCAAGCAGGTACATTCAGTTCCTATGAGTACTATATGCATCCATACAGTACTATAAGTGTTTGTGTACAACTAAACCAGTTTTACAACATTTAGCAACGAATGTAATGGTTTTTGGATGTTAATTTCCATAACTCAACTATGAAATAGCAATTTATATGTATGGTTGCAGATCATCCTTGTTTGTTATGCTGAACTTTAAACTTGCAATTTGAGAACGGATTTCTAGTCTTTTAGACTAGAAGAGAAAGAGAAAAGAAACTGAAATGTGGTATTCTGAGATTGTGGTTAATCAGAGTCTCTTGTGTGGTCCAGTACAGAGCTAATCCGGATATTTCTTTTGCATCAGATCCCTTTTAAAAATACAGGGATTGTATTACTTGTGATCATTAAGTTACGGGTGAAATGACATTTGTGTGTAATTTATGTATTTTCTCACCAGCTGTATGCATAATTATATATTAATTTTGTTTTTATTAAAAAAAAAAAAACATTCTATTTATTAGTGAGGTGAAAGGCACCTCAATGCACAATTTTCACTTCAAATTTCTGGTAATTCGCTTACATTTTTTTGTTTCATCTCATAACTTTAGTGCATCACTATTATCATGTTCTTGCTGTCAGCAGCTATTATCTCTTATGTTAAAATACATTTGTTCTCTTTCTTTCCCCCTCCTTTTTATCCTCTTCCATCCTTTTTAATCTCTGGTAGAATTCCTAATCATAGGGGTAGAGTTAGGATTGTCCCAGTAGATTCAGGCATGGGTGTGGAGGATTGGGAGGTTAAATACAAACTACAGGGTAAAAGTACTCTGGGTGAGGTCCTTGATAGAGAAGAATAGGCATGGATTGAGGAACATGACCGACAAAATGATCTTCTTCGTAATGAAAAGGCTTGCCACGACCCCATAGTCAACCATTTGTCTCCAATCAAAAACAAAAATGCTTCATTAAATGCTGCTTACCCAGAAAGCTATGCCACTATTGACCGAAGGCGAAGGAAAAAAATCCGGGACCCAGGAGGGCTGGAGCATGCCGGAGCAGAACATTTCCCACCCGATCTTGCATTTCTCCATCAAAAACAAAGCGAGCTTGTGTTATGTCACGTGAAAGAAATGGAAGAGGCTGATGAAAACATGATGCCATGCCTGAAACCATACAAAAATGGCTTACTCTGCAAAACTAGAATGTGGGCAAAAAATAAGGTAGAAAACACACTGGAGAATTATGTTGCATATCAAGAGGAAGAAGCAACTAGAAAGAGGAAAGATGTAGGCTTTGATTCTGACGGCTCAAATGAGCTACAATATTCCATTGGCTCTGAGGAGGAGTTGGAGGAAATTACTTCTTTAGGTAAGGCACTCAGGGCTGAGGAGAGGAAGAATTATAGCAACTATGGATATTTCTCAACATATGGTAGCCAAACTGAGAGGCTCCAAGGTTACCGTGATAAGAAGAGTGGAAAGGGTAAAATTGGTAGATGGGCTCCAGAGGCCATGCTGTCTCCTGTTGAGGAACCTAGTGATGAATATGTTGATCCTATAGATGAGCTGCAGTGCCTGGTTGAAACTGTATCAGAATATCTCGCTGAAAAAGAAGAGGAGATCAGTAAAATGGCTCTTTACCCAAGTCTAACAAATCAAGGCTGTCATCTCAGGGTAGTGCAAAAGCAGAATCTGTTGGCGATGAGCAAGGTATCACCTCTAAGGAAGTAAAAGATAAACCCATAGATGCCAAAGAAAGAAATTCAAGTGGTGCTTCTGACCATGGAGTGGCAGGGATGAAGAATGCCATGAGTTCATTATTTAGCTCTTTAACAGATAAAGTTGTATCAAGCTCAAAACAAGTGAGCTCCAAGTCTGATGAACAATCAGAGACACCAAGTGATGTTCCTGTTGGTTCTGGTATATCAAAATTGTTTTCCTTCATGCCAATGTCTGTAAGTCCCACACCAGTAGCTGTGGTATCCCCTACCCAGGACCCTCAGTGTGATAGGAAGTTTTCAATGCCATCTATTTTGCCTTTCCAGCCATCTGATCCCAAGTTGCAAGGGGTGGACCAGTCAATTCAACCAATCAGAAATGAGCTCAACAAATACACTGTTGTCACAGTTCACAACGAGACATCCTCCTCTGTGAATTCAATTTTGGGAAAGGGGAACATTTTCACTGGAGAAAGTGTTGTGAATGGAACAGCCAAAAGTTATACTCAAAAGAATTTTGATGTGGGGAAAATACAGCCGGGAGATCAGTCCAGAGTTTTGAATTGCAATGCAAAACTCAGTACAATGCCAGATGTGTATCAAGTCGCTGATGGTGAAAAACTTAAAACTCTTAAAAATATCTCTAATGAGATAAATAGTGATAAGACGCATACTGAGCCTATAACACAAAAAGCTGCTGAAGAGTCAGGATTTTTCAGTCCTTTTGAGAAATCTCTCAGTTCATTAATCTCACCTGGACCTCCAGTGCCTCCTCAGACTCAAACACAGACAGTTTTTCCTGTCTTCAGATCAGCAAAAGACATTAGGGTAGAACAACTTTCAGACCAATCCTCCCTTATAAAACAACCTTTTGTCTCCTCTGACAATGTATCTGTCCCACAATCTCCAAAGGCAGAAGGGGGGCTTTTATCTGAACTGTTTGTTTGCATCTGGTGAGGATTCAAGTGCATCCAAAAGTATGCCACAAAATTTAGTTAAGACCGATCAAACTCTTCCTGCCCCAAACAAAATTACAGGTGTATTTCCATCTTCAGTTCTTGACAATGCAAAATCAACAATCATAAAGAATCATAAAGAACCTGAGGTAACTGCTAAGGGGAACACAGAAATAAGCAGGTTTTCTAGTCTCTTTAAGATGGCACCAACTGAAGATCTGCAGCCTGTTACTCCACATACCCAAAGGCCTAATATTCAGAGCTCTCCACTTCCTTCAAGGTCAAATCAGAATGTACATAGGATGCAACATCAGAATTCATCTACTGCTAAAGAACAAATACAATTTAGGCACCAACATCCCGGTTCAAATGAAGTCCCTCATGTTACAGAGCAAAAAGCATCTCAACACAAACGTCAAGGCCTGTTCTCTGGTTTGTTTAAATCAGCTGCCTCTGATACATCAGGTGCCCAAGCATCTACTAATCAACCACAACAAGGAGGCTTACTCTCAGGATTCATGAAATTTGCTTCTACAGGTGATATGACCAGAGGTACTCAACTCAATCAGTCACAACAAAGGAGTCAGTCTGCTCAAATAATAAATCAACAAACCCAACCTCATACCCAACAAAGTGCATCTAATCCTAATTTCTCAGGGCTGTTAAATGTTTCCTCCACAGAAAATAAGTCGACTCATAAACCCCCTCAACAAAAAGAATTTCAGCAACCTTCAACAGTTGCAAGTGCACCACCTCAACAGGGAAGTATTTTATCTGGCCTTTTCAGATTTGCCTCCACTGACAAGATTTCAGACAATCAGACAAAGATCTCCCAGAAACAACAAAAATCATCAAGTGTGAGTTCCCGTCAAGATACTGTACATCATAATGCTGAGGGACAGAGTTGCAACCTTCTTCAGCAGTCCAGATTCCAAAATCAGCAATCAGACCAACATCAGAATGGTATATTAGATGGCCATAGACCAAGTATGTCCCATCAAGGATCTTCTCAACAAGGTTTTCTGTCTGGCCTTTTCAAGTTTGCCTCCTCTGATGTTTCTGTATCTCAATCAACACAACAAATACAGGCATCTAACAATCAGTCCACTCCGCTCCCGTCAAAAACAAATGTAATGGGTCAAAGCCACCCATCTCAACATAATTAATTTACACCAAAACCCCAGTCAGGCGGTCTCTTCTCTGCCTTTCTTAAAACATCCTCCACTGAGTCACAGGAACTTAATACACCACCTGCTACACAGGAAAACAAGGAACAGTCAGTTGTGACAAAACAAAATTATCCTATGGCAATGCAAGATGCATCCTCTCAGTCAGGAATTTTGTCAGGTCTTTTCAATAAACTCACATCCTCATTGGAAGATGTATCACCAAACAGCCAAAATTAATTTCAGCAAAAACAGGAGGAACAACACATACCAAGAGAGATTTCCACTCGTCAAGGTCAATTAAATAGACCGCTACCTCAAATGCCTTCTCGGAATCAACATGTACTACAAAACCAAAATCCCTCTACTCAACAAGGTTGTTTATCTGGAATATTAACCAGGAATACAACAGAGATTACCGCTGCCAAACCAGAGAATGTGGTTATGGAAGGATCACATTTGAAGGTCAGTTCTATAGGACTGCTGAGTCACAAGATATCTGACCCAAATAATGTGCCTAACATCTGTGACACGGAGAGCCTTGATTTGAGGACACCAGCAAGTTATGCAAGGTCACAACAGAATCGTGCTGCATACACATCTAATAGCACTGGTAGTTTACCCCTCTTATATAGCTCACAAAACTTTTTGCTCTCAAGCCAAATAAGAAACGCTTCATATAGCACTGAAAATCTTAGTAGCCTCCCTCTTGGTCACCCATCTCAAGCAGTAATGTCACAGGAATATTTAAGGCAGAGTTATCCATCCTTGCATATTGTATCTGAACAATATGGCTACCCACAAGTCTCTTCTTCATATGCATTGGGACTTAGTCCCAATGATGAACACTCATGGATCCAAGAATCTATTTTGTGGCAACAGCTGAATGATCAGTCATTGGACTGCTATCCTGACGGACGTTGGAATATAGCTAGCGATCAAATCCACAAATCTTCCCAGTGTCTGGATAATATAAACATGGATGTTACTCAGCCATGGATGACATTGCACACTTACCAAGGAGAGAGCAATAATCAACCAGAGTATTCCAAAGATTTTCACCATAGTTCTATGAGACAGAGATTGTGGAATAGCCATAACAGTTTGGATGTGATTAGTAGCCAAGAGTTTGAAGGTGTATTGAATTTGAGCGTGAAGAATAATAATAAATTAGGAAAGTGGCACT